ATTATCAACCTGCTTATAAGTTGTCCTGTAGGGATGATGAGCACAAAAACGTCGGTGATTTCTTTTCGCGCGGGATGCTTATGCAAATAACGTCACAACCTCGGTCCTGTTTCTCAGGGAGGAGAGGTCCTGGGAACGAAGCAAAGCAGAGTTCAAAATGGCTATTTGATTGCTAAACCTGATATGAATTGTCTCACACGACTCTTTAAGTAAGTAACATATTTAGAAGTGGGAACCCAAAAGCAATTTTTAGAAAATTCACTTGGGGCATTAGACTCAAAAATAATCGAGCAAGCAGACGTCATCTTCGTGAATCACATCATGTAAAATAGAGTAAGGAATGCGTAATCCATTTGTACTCACAAGAGCTGAAGATCTCCCAGAGCAGCCAAACTACTTCACTTGTGCCTTCAGAAAAGACAAACTTGACAAGTACGTTTTCTTTGTTAACCATCAGGATTATGGTTAACAAATGGTTATGGTTAGCCGTGATGATTTCTTCAAAAGTGCTCAGCGAAGCAGAATTGTAAGTGATTCCTGTAACACAGGATTTTATAAAATAGTATACTCAGGTAACACATCGATATATATCTCAGACAGAGATGGCAAAACAAATAGAAGTACAGTAAATATTGATGTTCAATTGCAAGCACGTTCACAGAATTTTGACAAGAACACAGTATGGTGAGAAGAGGAATCAGATTGGTAAAAATGAAGCAATCTTAATCAAAACTATACTTTATGTTAATGACTAGCATTAAAAATTTGGGGCCCTTTACATTAGGAAGAGAAATATATTTTTGTCAGTCATTGAACAATAAGAATATTGCCACCTACAGGGAATTTAAAGGTACATGTCAGTTTTCTCTGATAACAGCAAGACTCTTTGAAGTATTCTCTTTTGTATTACTTTTAATTATTGATGTCAGCTTATTAAACTGATTTTGCAGTATATCATGTATCACATTGTGTATGGTGTGATCAGAAACTTATACCTAACATAATGTAGGTGCATATCCTTGTCATTTATGCATCTTTGTAATATGATATTAGGCATTGGATGCTTAATTGGCAATGGATCTTACGCTGCAGCTTATCCCTTACACGAGGTAAAAAATTAATTGCAAGTTTTGTTTTGTTTTGTTTTTTTGTCTTCAGTATAACAACTCCTTACTGTGAAACTTAAAAAGTGTCCAAGAAATTTACTATGGTATAATTTGATGGATCACTGCAATTTACAATGATTTCTCTAGGTTTAAAAAATGAGCAGTTCCTGAATGATAGTCCTTTAGAAGAGAATATCATAGGCTTTGAAACTTCTCAGAATTTAGAGTGACTGAAAACAGAGACTTGAAGGGCAGTGGTGAACAAATTTAAGGGCCCTCATATTTGCACATGATTATTAAGTTGAAGGCCCAAGAAGGCTGACATACAGTTATATCATACAAAACTTAAAATTAAAAACCTTGTCTCCTGTCAGGAATTAAAGGGACATGAAAAAGCCAAACAAAGCTATATAGGTCATGGTTCATTTTTTGTAAGTGCACTCCATCTGGTTGAATGATCCCATGCAAGGGACTGGCCAGAGGAAAAGGTAACATACTGCATCAGTTTTCTCAGAGTGATTTGGAGTCTAATAATGATATTTTCCTTGAATCAACAATTATGTCAGGTTGCTTGAACAGGATTCAGCCAAATGTTGGCAAAGTTAGCCAACTGTGTTTTCTTGTCATTTATTTCAGAAAGTACAGTAAGGCATTCTCGTGAGATCAAAATTTTAGAATGAAAATTTAATACAAAGAAGGAATAACATCAAACAACTACATGTCCATATGTTTAGTCAAGTGAGAGTTGGACAATGGATGTCTTGATCCAGGGAACATTAAGCTTGTTGTACATGGGGAGCTATTCAGACTGATACATGTACATTGTACATGTATATAATAGTAATAGGACTAAGAGGAGTCCAATTCAGGCTGTAATTATCCAAGTGATTAACAAAATCGGATGATTGCACTGTGAAGGCATCCGTTGTACCTTTTCATCTAAAAAAAAACAACAGTTAAAGGGGCAAAATGTGAGACAACAGCATGCACATGTGACACCTTCTTTCCACTTACACAGGCATGGTGTGTTAATTGCCCTATTACACTGTCCAATTACAAGCATGATGTGTACACTGTCCTATTAGTGCTCAAACTGAGCTGGAGAACTCAAGAATTTTGTTATAGTTTTGATCAATGAAACCAGGGATTTTGAATAGCAACATGCTCATAACACACACAAAAGTAATTTTTTAGCATTTTGAAACATGTTCTTTTACCTTTAGGTGTTGATGTTACAAATTAAAGAGTTGCATTTGATTTTTTTTTACTGGAGAGAGGTAAAAGAGATGGATTTGGCATATGATGAGCACACTGTAATTTATAATTACTTTATCAGGGAATTTGACATGTAGAGATCTATACATTGCAAAAAATTACCACAATAATTTTTTTATGGAATAACTTGATACAGTACCATCATTATGTAAACATCAATTCTCCATCCAGTCTACCATACAGCTTTTACAGTTTATACAATCAAACAATACTTTGTCCCCTGAAGTTTTTTCTTTCTTCTTATCACATTCCTGCTTTTAGATGTTTTAAGGTAAATTCCTATTTTGTAGGAACTTGTAAGAGGAAAATTAGAGTCGAACAAGTCAAATCACCAAAGAAAACTTTGTTTGTTTGTTTTTTCATTGAATTTTCTCCTTCCCTAATATTTTTACTTCTACCCCTACTCTTGATATTCTTCTCAAGCTTGTGTTCAGATATATCAGACTTGAAACTTTTGATAGCTTTTCTCAATATTTTCTTTTAAGTGCAGTTATAAATTTTTCTATTGCATTGTTTTTTCCAGTTTTCCAGTTGGTAATCAATGATAGTTTTATTTGTGGGTTGTTGCTATTTCAGTTGTTGTTTGACACCTGGGTTAAAGCACATTGCTGGTACAAAATGCAACCATTGGATCATATCAGGTAAAATCACTTACACAGGACTGTTTAACTCAAGGTGTGTCACTTATCTGATTGATATTATATTGATATTGTAAGGAAAAATTCTGTCTTGGTCACTCATGGGAGTTAAAGGGTTAAAATCACGAAATGTTAGCCAGAAATGGAGAAAGAAAAGAAGAAAGCAGAGAAAGAAATTTTGTGCAACATCGAATTTAAGCACCACAGTTTCTTCCTGCTGGCCATGATGACCAAATGACCGCAGTGTGAGGCCCTTTGTCGCATTAATAATTGATGTAGCCCCTTGTTAAAGGGGCTACACGTAGCATAAACCATGAATTTGGAGACAATTCATAATGACTAACACATTATTTTGCTGGGAAATATTCATCTTTGTAGTTCGTTTTTCAGAAGTTATCTATCCAGTTTTATCGTCTACATGTACTAATGTCCTCTTTGATTCTCTTCAGGTGGCTTACGTTTTTGACAATGAGTTTACTGTGGTTTTTGCCATTTTTATGTCGATTTGGGGTGAGACCTTTTTTTATTTTTAAGAATAATTGCTTGTGTAATAAACTGTGTCAGACCCCGAGGCTCTATTGTTGACAGCTGTACAAATCATAAATGGCTAGCACGTGGAACCTTAAGTCTAAATGTTTAAGCCCTGGTGTGGTCATTATATTGAGTTGTTGGGCGAGATGATTCACTCTGAGAATGCCTCTCTCCATCCGGGAGTATATACATATTGGCAACGCTGAATAGTCAAAGAAACTTGACAGAATGTTTGGGCAACTTGTACTGAACCATCCCGTTCAAGAGTTGAAAAAATATCCAATGGATTGATTAAAGAACATTTCATGGTTAGGATCATTTTGTCTGTGACTTTCACATAAAGGAAACTTTGATTTTCTTTCAGGGTCGTAATGTTAATGCAATACTTTGCTGATGTCATGTGTGTATTTAGATATATGAAAATTCACATATTTGCACTGCGGTGGAAAGATGAAATTAGAAGATCCTCGCAGCTAAGAACACTACTGAAACTAGTAGTTGTAAGTAGGACCTGAAAAAAATTTTTTCAGGCCCGTACGGGATTTGAACCCATGACCTCTGCGATACCGGTGCAGCGCTCTACCAATTGAGCTAACAAGCCAACTGGGAGCTGGTCAATGAATTGGGTACTAATAAACATCCGAGTGAATGAAGATTTAGATATATGAAAATTCACATATTTGCACTGCGGTGGAAAGATGAAATTAGAAGATCCTCGCAGCTAAGAACACTACTGAAACTAGTAGTTCTAAGTAGGACCTGAAAAAAAAAATTTCAGGCCCGTACGGGATTTGAACCCATGACCTCTGCGATACCGGTGCAGCGCTCTACCAATTGAGCTAACAAGCCAACTGGGAGCTGGTCAAATGAATTGGGTACAAATAAACATCCGAGTGAATGAAGATTTAGATATATGAAAACTCACATATTTGCACTGCGGTGGAAAGATGAAATTAGAAGATCCTCGCAGCTAAGAACACTACTGAAACTAGTAGTTGTAAGTAGGACCTGAAAAAAATTTCAGGCCCGTACGGGATTTGAACCCATGACCTCTGTGATACCGGTGCAGCGCTCTACCAATTGAGCTAACAAGCCAACTGGGAGCTGGTCAATGAATTGGGTACAAATAAACATCCGAGTGAATGAAGATTTAGATATATGAAAATTCACATATTTGCGCTGCAGTGGAAAGATGAAATTAGAAGATCCTCGCAGCTAAGAACACTACTGAAACTAGTAGTTGTAAGTAGGACCTGAAAAAAATTTCAGGCCCGTACGGGATTTGAACCCATGACCTCTGCGATACCGGTGCAGCGCTCTACCAATTAAGCTAACAAGCCAACTGGGAGCTGGTCAATGAGTTGGGTACAAATAAACATCCGAGGGAATGAAGATTTAGATATATGAAAATTCACATATTTGCACTGCGGTGGAAAGATGAAATTAGAAGATCCTCGCAGCTAAGAACACTACTGAAACTAGTAGTTGTAAGTAGGACCTGAAAAAAATTTCAGGCCCGTACGGGATTTGAACCCATGACCTCTGCGATACCGGTGCAGCGCTCTACCAATTGAGCTAACAAGCCAACTGGGAGCTGGTCAATGAATTGGGTACAAATAAACATCCGAGTGAATGAAGATTTAGATATATGAAAATTCACATATTTGCACTGCGGTGGAAAGATGAAATTAGAAGATCCTCGCAGCTAAGAACACTACTGAAACTAGTAGTTCTAAGTAGGACCTGAAAAAAAATTTCAGGCCCGTACGGGATTTGAACCCATGACCTCTGCGATACCGGTGCAGCGCTCTACCAATTGAGCTAACAAGCCAACTGGGAGCTGGTCAATGAATTGGGTACAAATAAACATCCGAGTGAATGAAGATTTTAGATATATGAAAATTCACATATTTGCACTGCGGTGGAAAGATGAAATTAGAAGATCCTCGCAGCTAAGAACACTACTGAAACTAGTAGTTCTAAGTAGGACCTGAAAAAAAAATTTCAGGCCCGTACGGGATTTGAACCCATGACCTCTGCGATACCGGTGCAGCGCTCTACCAATTGAGCTAACAAGCCAACTGGGAGCTGGTCAATGAATTGGGTACAAATAAACATCCGAGTGAATGAAGATTTAGATATATGAAAATTCACATATTTGCACTGCGGTGGAAAGATGAAATTAGAAGATCCTCGCAGCTAAGAACACTACTGAAACTAGTAGTTGTAAGTAGGACCTGAAAAAAATTTCAGGCCCGTACGGGATTTGAACCCATGACCTCTGCGATACCGGTGCAGCGCTCTACCAATTGAGCTAACAAGCCAACTGGGAGCTGGTCAATGAATTGGGTACAAATAAACATCCGAGTGAATGAAGATTTAGATATATGAAAATTCACATGTTTGCACTGCGGTGGAAAGATGAAATTAGAAGATCCTCGCAGCTAAGAACACTACTGAAACTAGTAGTTGTAAGTAGGACCTGAAAAAAATTTCAGGCCCGTACGGGATTTGAACCCATGACCTCTGCGATACCGGTGCAGCGCTCTACCAATTGAGCTAACAAGCCAACTGGGAGCTGGTCAATGAATTGGGTACAAATAAACATCCGAGTGAATGAAGATTTAGATATATGAAAACTCACATATTTGCACTGCGGTGGAAAGATGAAATTAGAAGTGAAGTCATATATGACGTAGCGCCTGACAGGCAGCACGCGTTTTTTCCTGCTCCGTGATTCTAAGCGAACTTTCTTCAAAATAACTTTCTCGAAACGACAAAGAGCACTATTTTAATCACAAGTAGATTTTTATAATATTGGCCTCTAGTTACATGGCGATATTTTATTCAAGAGCGGCACTGAATGCCATTTTATCTTCAACGACGAAGAAGTCGCTCGGTTGTGAGTTATGGCGCAACATATCTGATCTGGGAATAACACGGCAAAGACCTACACGTCGAGGGACAAGAGCAGGACAGCGCAAACAAAGGCAGATTGGGATTTGCATGGGGAATGGAGCACGCAAGATTCAGCAATTTCCGAACTTTAATGGGTGTTTCTTTGCCAAGAACTTAATCCTTCACAGGAAACCTCATTTACATAACCAACTGGCGAACATATTAAATATTCAAAATGACACCTTTCCACGTAGCAATCTAAACAACTGCATTGTTATAGATTGCACCAAGGAAAACAGAGCAGCCAGTACTGAATGGTCACCCAAAGTTCCTAAGATCATGTTAGCGAATGTCATGTCTTTAGCCCCCAAAATGGATGAAGTTAGCGAGTTTATCACTCGTAATCATATCAACCTTGCGTTCGTTACGGAAACCTGGCTAAAGGACTCTGTGTTGGACACCGTTGTTGACATCCCCGGGTTTGCTATTGTGCGTGAGGACAGGAAGATACTAGAACACGGTGGTGTGTGTGTCTATATTCAAGAAAAACGGTGCAAATATAAACAACTGAACGATTTAAAGTGCTGTGATAATCATGAGACATTGTGGCTCCATCTAAGACCAAACCGC